AAAAAAAAAAAAAAAAAAAAAAGGAAGGAGATGACTTACATTTACAGGCCATGTTGAATGACAAATATGTTTCATTTGCCAACACCCATAGTTGAGTTCTTTTCTGTTGTATCTATTTGTGGTGTAACTTCCTTATATACTCCTGACTAATAAGTTTTGTTATCCTCCTAGGAAATCGACAAGATGGTTTTTGGAGAGAACCTCTTGATATTGTATCTACCGTCTATTGTGATCACGCTGGCCAATTTTATCACCCCAATGATCTTTGCCAAGATCATCCGCTATGAGGATTATTCCCCAGGCTTTGAGATCCGGCTGACAATCCTTAGGTAATGCCTAACATGAAGATGGCAGGCATGTCAAGCCAATCACCACCTGCCCTCTCTTGCCCATGGCAGACATCGCTAATCAATTGTGGTGCATTTTCCTGCTGAGCCAAGAGTCCTCCTCAACCTTCAGACAGCCCCCATGAATGAATCAGAATTTGTACATATGGTGAAATGTCTTTGATTTGAGAGTCTACTCCTTGATACTATGTTTTTGGTCCATATAATAGCACAGGGCATAGGCTGGGACCCTAAGAGCAAGGGTTACTCTAAAACTGTCAGAAATGACAGCTATAAGGCAGAGTCCAGGGAGTTAACACAAATGAGTGGAGAAGACCAGGTGGGACTGTGCAGGACTTGAGAGTTTTCTTTCTGTTTCTCACATGCCTTAGATAGCATTTGCATGTTATATAAAACATTTTTTATTTTGAAAAAAATTTTTTTTTTTTTTGAGATGGGGTCTCACTCTGTCCCCTAGGCTGAAGTGCAGTGGGGGGACAGATCATAATTCACTGCAGTCTCAAATCCTTGATCTCAAACAATCCTCCCACGTCAGCCTCCCACATAGCTGGGACCACAGACATGCACCACCATGCACAGCTAATTAAAAACAATTTTTTTTTTTTTGTAGAGACAGGGTTTTGTTATGTTGCCCAGGCTGGTCTTGAATTCCTGGGCTTAAGTCACCCTCTTACCTCCACCTCCCAAATCCTGTGATTACAGGCAAGAGCCACCATGCCTGGTCTCAAAGTTTTCAAATAGAATGCATAGTGTAATGATTCCCATATGCCTTTCACTTACATTTCCGTCATTCCCAACATTTTGCTAATCTTATTTCCATCCATTCCCCGTTTCTTTGCTGGATTATTTTAAGCAAATCTCAGGCAACATGCCATTTCATCTGTAAACACTTCATTATACCTTTTTTTTTTTTTTTTTTTGAGACAGAGTCTTGCCCTTTTGCTCAGGCTGGAGTGCAGTGGTGTGATCTCGGCTCACTGCAACCTCCACCTCCTGGGTTCAAGCAATTCTCCTGCCTCAGCCTCTCGAATAGCTGGGACTACAGGCACGGGCCACCATGCCCGGCTAATTTTTTAAAATATATTTTTAGTAGAGACGGGGTTTCACCATGTTGGCCAGGCTGGTCTCGAACTCCTGACCTCAGATGATCCATCCACCTTAGCCTCCCAAAGTGTTGGGATTACAGGCGTGAGCCACCGTGCCCAGCCAACTTCATTATATCTCTAAGTGATGGGAGCTTTAAACATATAACCATCATCACACCTAATAAAATCGAGTCGGTCTCCCCGGTGGGGTTGCAGATGGTTTTCCACAGTTGATTTGTTCAAAGCAGAATCCAAACACGGCCCACATGCTGTGTTTGGTTGTCATGTCTCCTAAATCTCTTGTATTCTTTTCAGAGTTTCCCCTCCCCTTTTGTTAAGCCTTTGATTTGTGGAAGAAACTGGATCGTTTTCCTGTAGAGTATCTCCTATTCTGGATTTCGTCCATTGTTTCTTCCTGGTGTGTTTAATTTGTTTTTCTGTGCCCATAGTTGCTGTCAATGACTGCGTAGATTCAGAGTTTTTGTTAGATTCTGTGTCAGTTTTTAGTTAAGGAAACCTCATCAGCGGTGCCATGTCCTTCCTGTTGTATCTCAGCAGAGGTACAGTGTGGTGTTAGTAATGAGAAGAATGATTAGAGGGCGTGGGTTCACTTTTACCCTCATTCTTTTCTTTCTTTTTTTTTTTTTTTTTTGAGACTGGGTCTTGCTCTGTTGTCCAGGCTGGAGTGCAGTGGCATGATCATAGGTCACTGCAGCCTTGACCACCTGGGCCCAAGTGCCTCAGCCTCTCGAGTAGCTGGGACTACAGGTGCATGCCACCATGCCAAGCTGATTTTTAAATTTTTTGTGGAGACAGGATATCCTCACGTTGCCCAGGTTGTTCTCAAACTCCTGGGCTCAAGCAATCCTCGCACCTAAGCTTCCCAAAGCGTTGGGATTACAGGCTTATGAGCCACCATGCCCAGCCTCCCTTATTTTTTAATGTTTCTTTCTTTCTTTTTTTTTTTTTTTT